ACTCTCACCAGCAATGCACGGGGCTCCAGTTTCTCCACATCCTTGCCAACACTTAGTCTTTTCTTTTCTTTTTTATTATAGCAGTCCTAGTGGATGTCAAGTGGTATCTCATGGTGACTTCAATTTGTAGTTCCCCAAAGATTAGTGATATTGAGCATCTTTTTTTTTTAAATTTTTAAAGTGCCCTTTCTCTAGTGAGTATTACCAGCACTTTTAAGGCCTTTTTTTTTTTTTTTTTTTTTTTTTTTTGACAGGGAGACAGATCACAAGTAGGCAGAGAGGCAGGCAGAGAGAGAGGGGGAAGCAGGCTCCCTGTTGAACAAGAGAGCCCGATGCGGGGCTCGATCCCAGGACTCTGGGATCATGACCTGAGCTGAAGGCAGAGGCTTAACCCACTGAGCCACCCAGGCGCCCTTTGAACATCTTTTTTATGTGCTTATTGGCCAACCGTACATCTTTGGAGAAATGTTTAACTCCTTTGTTCATTTCTTAATTGAACTGTTGCTTTTCTGTGTTGAGTTGTAGACAGTATTTTTAATACACAATTTTTTTAGATTAGTTTCTTGAGGAGCAAAACCTGAACTGGGGATCTTGTGCGAGGATCTATAGAGGGAATGTTCTCAGGATAAGCTGAGTGGGGGAATCAGGATAAGGCAAATTAAAAATAAAACACAAAGGATTGAAGTGGTCTCAGCTGGGGTCTAGCTTTAGCGAATCCCACGGGTGCTCTGGAGGGAGATTTGTCCCACAGTTGGTCCTGCTTTGAGGTCAGGGCACCAGCCTTTGGACCCCTAGCTCAGCTAGTTATTGGCTATCCAAGTAAGGGGATGATCTCCTGGGCTGGGTGACACTGAAGACAGGGCTCTGGGGCCATTAGCTGCTGACATTCATGGCACCTGGGCAGGACCCACTGCCAGCCCCAAGCCAGAGAGAAAATCTGGGCAGGGCACCAACAGTGACTACTAAGTCCACCCCTTGAACTGCTCATATCTATTTGTTCCTCTTATTAAGTTCAGTCCATTGAGACACAAATTCTCCAGTATTCTAATGGGTCTCAGTATCTGGAGGAACTTCTGAGAAATGGGTAGAGAGATGAACTGTAGCCCCTACTGCTGTAGTTGATCCCCAGACCACAAGTGATATTCAACATCTCCCTTTTCTACCACCCATTCTAGATTTCTTCATAGCTAACACTTTGGCTCTCCTAGATGGTTCACGCCTGAGGGTCTGAGCTCCTGGGAGCCGGTCCTTACCAGGGTGTGTGACATGCTCGCCTGTTTACAGTTACTGGGGGTGGGAGCACCAAGAGATGTCCCACTCTGCTGAGTGCCTGCTCTGATTGCTGATCACCTGAGCACTACATTCCTGCCTGACCCTATCCTGTAGCAGGTAGCTCTACATCCTACCAATAATGAGGATCAATTATCCCTACAACTCTGGTTACCCCCTTCTGTGCCCACCAATCCACTGGCACAAGTTGTTGCACGAGATCAGGCGACAGCCATAGTTTCAACATGACTATGTCCCCTGGTAGAAGTGTCCTCTTTGGAGACCCCTAGCATCTCTAGGCTCACAGCTCTTACTGCTGCGGAACAGAAAGCACAAATTCCTCAAGTAGGTCATTGGGCATTGCATGTATCAGGGACAGAGCCTCGTAAAGTGGTGACTGATGTAGCTATGTACTGCTTCACGGAGGCTGGCACTCCACCTCCTGGGGATCATCTCCAAGTTGGAGTCTCATCTGAATCTACATGTGGCCAGCCCCTCCCTCTAGCACACCAGAAACTTCTGGATGGCACATATTGGGTAGGAACAGTACATTCCTGGTCACATGTCCATTGCCATACCTCCTTTGCCATAAAGCAGTTATGTGGGATTCCATGTCAACCGATCAGACACTTGGGGAACTCTTGATAGGAGTGCTGAAGTAATTGGAGGCAGAAAGGCAAACCTTTATCCAGATACATGGCCGTCTCGGTGAACATGAATTATCACTTTTTCTAGAATAGAAGGGATCCAAGGTAATCAACTTGCCAGCAAGTAGCTGGTTGGCTCCTGTAGGGACAGGTGACAGCCTACTGCCAAATATATTTGGCAGTGGCAGTAGCTGGATTAGCCTTGGTTACAAGGAGCCCATGCTGCTGGGCTCATACATGGCCTCCATTCTGTTACCATGACGACTTCACTAGGGAGAGCACTGTGCCAGAATGATGGGGGCAGAGGACAGAGCCTGGCTTATGCTCATTGGCCAGTCCATTCTCTGCTTGTTTTTTTAGAGCCTCTCTGGTAGATGCTCACTGGTGAATATTAACATGCAATACAAAGGGGCGCCTGGGTGACTCAGTGGGTTGAGCCTCTGCCTTCGGCTTGGGTCATGATCTCAGGGTCCTGGGATCGAGCCCCGCATCGGGCTCTCTGCTCAGTAGGGAGTCTGTGTCCCCCCGCCCCCGCCTGCCTCTCTGCCTACTTGTGATCTCTGTCAAATAAATAAACAAAATCTTAAGAAAAATGCAATACAAAGATCTTCACTCTTTGAACCAATTCCCAGAGGTCCATCGACATGCCTCATCTTCAGACCTATTTGTCCCCAAACTTTCAGATCGTTCCTTCCAGGCTCCCAACCAGCCCGTTAAGCCATGTGCCACTGCCCATGAGTCCAGGCCACATCTCCTGCCACACGAAGTGAATGGCAAAATTTACTGCTGGAAGTTTTGCCTATGGGGGTGACTGCTTCTCACCACTTTCAGGGCAGCTGCTGAATGGGGATACAGTGAAGCAGCAGACCATTTTTAGCCTATACCAACATAGTGAGCCAACCTTCCCATGAACCAAGCACAGGTTTTTTTGCTCCTCTGTCACTGTGTCTAGGGAATCCCTGACACCACTGGTGTGAGCTGATAGCCACTGCTGCTCTAGAGGTAGATGAACAAGGGTCTGGACCACCTCCCACTGCATCTACATGAATCCTTTCAATCCTGGATCTGACACTTAGATTGTGATGTATCTACCTGACCTCATGTCCTCGTATCCTGATGGGACCAAGCAATGGGCAATTCTGGCCTCAGAGTCACTTTTCTTTTTTTTTTTTTTTAAAGATTATTTATTTATTTATTTACTTGTAATAGTGGGCAGAGAGGCAGGCAGAGAGGGGGGTAAGCAAGCTCCCTGCTGAACATAGAGCCCGATGTAGGGCTCGATCCCAGGCTCCTGGGATTATGACCTGAGCCGAAGGCAGAGGCTTAACCCAGTGAGCCATCCAGGGCACCCAGGTGCCCCTGAGTCACTTTTGATGTCCCATAGAAACATTCTGTTTCTACCAGAGCCCAGTAGCAAGCCAGAAGTTACTTTCTGAGTTGCTTTGATTTGTGAGTTTGTAGTTTGCACCAGATTTAAAAGGAAATTTCAGCCATTATATCTTCAAATTGTATTTGTCTTCTTCCAAAACACCCCCTGATCCCCATTTTCAGGGACTCCAATTACAGATTTATTTGGCTTCTTGAAGTTGTTCCACAACTCACTAGTGCTCTGCTCGTTCTTCTCAGGCTCGTTACTCTGTGTTTCATTTACTTTCTCCATGTCTTCCAGTTCACTTTTAAAATATTTTTTTCTTTTTTTAAAGATTTTATTTATTTGTCAGAGAGAAAGAGAGAGAAAGAGAGCACAAGCAGGCAGAGTGGAAGGCAGAGGCAGAGAGAGAAGCAGGCTTCCTGCTGAGCAAGATGCCAGAGCAAGATGCCAGATGGGGGACTCGATTCCAGAATCGTGGGATCTTGACCTGTGCTGAAATCAAGACCCCTTACTTAAATGACTGAGCCACCCAGGTGCCCCTTTCACTGACAGCTCCAAGCACCAAGCCTTGTTCTTGGGTGCAAGGGAAACAAAACTAACTGATGTAGAATTGTGGAGTCTCGTCCAGTAGTGCCCTGAGATCAGAGGTCACAGATATTAACCCTGGACAGTATCACGGACCTTTCTGTGGGCAAAGCCAAAGAGGTCCCTGCTGGGAAGAAAGCCCGGGTTCTACACTGCTCTTCCCCTGCTGGCTTCAGTTTTCTGTGGTATAAAGGGAACAAGAAGCTCTGCTTCTCTGTGTCCAGGGCCTTTTGGGTACTCAGATGAGCCAAGAGGAGGGTGAGGATAGGGGAAGGTGCTGGCCTGGTCTCCAGGCTAGCCTCCTGGTCACTGACAGGTGCCCTGGCCTGGACTCCCACGACTGGTTCTGCGGATGTGACCGGCGCTTGTTCATCCAGCACCGGCATGTCAGGCCCTGGGCAGTAGGCAGCCACCTTGTCTGTGGAGCCGTATCGCCAAGCACAGACCCTGCTGTCCTGACTCCACCCTGGCCACCAGCCACAAACTCTGCCTGTGCCCCCGCCCACCCGGGGCCCAAGGCCGGGTACACCGGCGCAGGGCCCAAGGGTCCGCCTGCTGGAGGAGCGCACGAGGTGGGCAGGGAGCGGCACGGCCGCGGGCTCCGAGGGTCCCTTTGGCCTGGAACGGGGCCCTTTAGGACACTGTGCAGCCCAACCCGGGCTCCTGGCCCGCAGGGGCCTCCACGAGAGTCTGTCCAGGGACAAGCGAGCGCACGACTGGTTCTGGGAGAGCAGGCGCTGCCAGCACAGCCACTGTCACGAAGCTGCCGCCCAGCTGGCCAGCGGGACCAGAACCTCCGTTGCGAGCTTTCGGCAGGCGAGACCGCACCCACCGGGTCCCTGCGGTCCCAAGCGGCCGCAGGCGGGACCTCCGCCCTTACCCTCCCCCGCGCCGCGCGAGTCCCGCCCCCTCCCGCCTCGCGGTCAGCCAATCGCATGGCGCGTTGTTTGGCGGCGCGGGGCCGGCTGGGCCTATAGGGTGGCGCGTTGTTGGGCCGCTGCGCCGCAGGCCGCACCCAGCTCCCGCGGCGGGGGCAGTGCCGGGGGCTGAGGGGGCGGAGAGGCCGGGCAGGCCGGGTCTGCAGGCTGGGGAGCGCGCGGCGGACAGGGGGCGGAGCCGGAGCCCGAGCCGGAGCTGGAGCAGGAGTCCGACCCCGAGCCGGAGCCCGAGCGGGAGCCGACGCGCAGTCCTCGGACCTGCGAACGCCCGTGCTCTGCTCGCGACTCGCCCCCTGAGGTGAGGCCCGCGCGCAGGGGCGGCCGCGGGGCCCGGGGCGCGGCGGAGCGGCCGAGGGGCTGCAGGCCGGGCCGCGGGGCCTGTGGCGGCTGCGGCGCCCGAGAGGCCGGGGGAGGCGGGCGGGGGCCGCGCCGGGCGGGGCGCGGGCGGGTCTGGAGTCGGCCGCGGGGGCTCGCGGCCGTGCTGGGACGGGTGTCGCCGCCGGGCAGTGGCCGGGTGCGGAGGGGACGGCGCCCTGCACACCCTTGGCGGCGCGGGCTGCTCGGTGGGAGCGGCCGGGCGGCCGGCGTGGGGGCTGGGTGGTGGGCGTCGGGGGTCGGGCGTCGGGCGTCGGCGCGGTCGGCTGCCTGCAGCGCCCGCGGCTGGCGGCTGCCAGTGGGCTCGGGAGCCAGTGCAAGCGGTGGGTTCCGGCAGCCAGACCGACCTGCTGACTGTCCTGCGGGCGTCGGGGAACTGGACGGCCGGAGCGCTTGTCGTCTTCTTCTCGCTCTTTTCTGTCTGGAACATCTTTTGGCGGCCGGTTGGGGGAGGTGTCAGAGGGTTCTGCCCTGGGCAATCACTTGTGTGTGTATTCTCGTAATCCACGGCCTTGGACGTTTTGTGGGTGATTTGTGTTCGCTTCCTGCGTCCCCACCTTCCGATCACTACTTCGGCTCACCGGGGACTGCTGGTGGTGGGGTGTGTGATTTTATGCCTAAATGACCGGAAGCAACTGGTGTGATCCTCAGGACCAGAGCGCGTCCGGTGGCTGAGTGCGTTGCTGTTAAGTCGTTACGGGAAGAGCTCTGCGTACTTGGGGACGATGGGCTGAAATCCTAACGGGGGAAGAAATAGGCTTGCTGAAAGGGCGCTCTGTCTCCTTTGCGGGACGTCATTGGAGCCTCGGGGGAGAACGAGTGGGAGTTCAGCAGCTCTGGGAGAGGGCACCTGTGGCCTAGCGGGTGACTTGGAGGGGGATTGTAAGGCTCAGTCCTCAGCTAATGCGCTGATGCTATGTAGAGATTGCATTGTAAAATCCGAACATTGTAAAATCTCGACATAGCCCTCGATTCTGACTGTGGGGAAAACTGGAAGAGTAAAGATGTTTTTTAAGGAAGTGAATGGTTTCGGCAGTCATAACTGCTTTTCAGAGTTTTGATGTGGTTTACAGCAGGACAGCTGGTATGGTTTATTTTACTGCTTGTCACTATGTTTAGATTTTAGTCACAGAGGCTTACTGAATGCCATGAATCTAAATTCTACCCAGTTTCCATGAGGTGGGATTGTTTTCTTTCTAAAGTATAATTTATACAGCTGACCATTTTCCCCTTTAAGTCTTTGACATTAACTGATACTGATAAGGTTTTGTTTGGTGTTCAACCTTGTGTTACTAATTTTACCCTAAAAGCTGTTTCTTTAGATGGTTATTGGTTTCCAGTTAGTTCTTTCAAGTAGTCCTTGTATTGTCAGAAAAGTAAATAATTTGAAATACTTTAAAAGATAGTTTAAGGGGCATCTGGGCAGCTCAGTTGGTTAAGCATCTGCCTTCGATTCAGGTCATGATCCCAGGGTTCTGGGATCCATCCCATGGCAGCCCTGTTCGGCCGGGAGCCTGCTTCTCCCTCTCCCGCTGCCTGCTTCTCCCTCTGCTTCTGTGCTGTCTCTCTCTGTCAAATGAAGAAATAAATATTTTTTTAAAGATTTTATTTATTTGACAGAGAGAGAGAGAAACAGTGAGAGAGTGAACACAAGGAGGAGCAGAGGGGAGAGGGAGAAGGAGGCTCCCCGCTAAGCAGGGAGCCCGACATGGGGCTCTATTCCAGCACCCTGGGATCATGACCCCAGCTGAGGGCAGCTGCTTAATGACTGAGCCACCTAAGCACCCTGAAGAAATAAAATCTTAAAAGAGAAAAGAAAGATACTTTAAAAGAGATTGTAAAAAAAAAAATCACATATCCAACTAGCGTTAAAATTTACCTTGTCTTAATTTTTAAGTTTGACAGTAAAAATATTTCTGTTATGTGAAACTTAGACTACAGATTGATTTACTTTACATGTTAAATTGTTCTCAGGTACCTGTAGAGAGAATGGTGTAATAAGTCCCTGTTTACCCTCATCCAGCTTCAACAGTTGTGAACTTACAGCTGGTTTTCATCTGTATCCCCCAAACCCAGATTTCATGTCCTTTTAACTTGAATATTTCGGCATGTATATTTACATACATTTTTTAAAAAGATAAACACAAATACCACTATCACAAAAATGAATAATTTCTTATTACCTTCATATGTCCAACCAATGTTAACATTTTCTTGATTGTGTCACAGTTTTTTTTTTTTTAATAACCGCTGAATCAGGATCCAAATGCTGTTTATGCATTGTGATTTGTTTTAATCTATAGGTCCCCCTCCATCTTTTGTCTTTCCTTGTAATTTATTTGTTGATGAAACTCTGTGATTTGTTCTGTGGAGTTACGGTCTGGGTTTTATTCTGTATGGTGCTTAAACTACACAGAAATGACTGTGCACTGGTAGATAAATCTAAAGGTGTGATCAGATTCAGAGTTGATTTATTTTTAGCAAAAAGACTTCATAGGTTGGTGGGCAGATAATGATTAGTAGTCTTCTTATAAGTGACTCTTGATGCTTAATGCCTAAAGCCCTTATTTATTTATTTAATATAGAGAGAGCGTGCAAGCAGAGAGGGGCAGAGGGAGAAGGAGAGAGCATCTCTAGCAGTCTCCACAGTCAGTGTGAAGCCCAGTGAGGGGCTGGATCCCATGATTTGGAGATCACGACCTGAGCTGAAATCGAGTTGGTTTAGTTACCATCTAAGTCACTCAGGTGCCTCAGAGTCATTATTTTATTAGGCTTTGGAAAGTGTTGATATTTTAATTTAACTTCATTTGTTAGATGGAATGCTTCTATAAAGAGAAATGTCTTGGGATGCCTGGGTGGCTCATTTGGTTGGGATGCTCTTGGTTTCCGCTTAGGTCATGCTGTTGGTGTTCTGGGATGGAGCCCTGAGTCAGGGTCTGTGCTCAGTGGGGAGTCTGCTGGAGATTCTCTCAGTCTCCCACTGCCCCTCCCCCTGCTTTCTCTGTCTCTCTTTCTCTCTCTGAAAAAAAAAAAAAATTAAAAAAAAAAAAAGAGAGAGAGAGAAATGCCCCCTCCATAATTTGGTTATCCTGAATTTTAGCTTTTTTGGGAAAAGTAGGGTAACTGCTTAATTCCTCTCCAGTAGGTTGCTAATTCTCAAAATGAGTTGGGATCTTCTGAAAGTAGCCAGTGAGTTGTGTTATGTGTTTGTGTCCGTGTGAACTCATGAATTTAAACACATTTGATATGGTTCAGTCCATTGTAGGTATTATCCTTATTGATGCTGAGATTGACTGATCTTTGTCCAATAGGAATCTGTTTAGTTTGCCTCCTAAATCCTTTTTTTTTTTTAAAAGATTTTATTTATTTATTTGACAGAGAGAGAGAGATCACAAGTAGGCAGAGAGACAGACAGAGAGAGAGAGGGGGAGAAGCAGGCTCCCCACTGAGCAGAGAGCCCGACACGGGACTCATCCCAGGACTCTGGGATCACGACCTGAGCCGAAGGCAGAGGCTTAAACCACTGAACCACCCAGGCACCCAACCTCCTAAATCCTTTAAACAAGATTCTAAAAGTCTTTGATCTTTCTGGTGTGACAAACCGCACCAGGTTCATCTTGTACATTTTCTTTCCCAAGCCCTGGAACCATCTATTTCTCCAAGGGGTCTTGGTTTCTTTTAATGAAAAAACGGTATTTAGTAATGACACTCTGTGTTGTGGGGTTTTTCACTGCTACTAGGTTGATCATTGTTTCTAGGTCTTTCCAGAGCACAGATCATAGGTTACTATATGGAGTTCTACTTAACCTTTTTGATCTTACACCTGTATCTTTTTTCTTCCAAGACAGACATTTTGATTCTAATTACTCATTTTTTTTTTTTTTTAAAGATTTTAGTTATTTATTTGAGAGAGTAAGCACAGAGGGAGAATGAGAGGGAGAAGCAGACAGGGCACCACTGCAGGACCCTGAGATCGTGACCCGAGCTGAAGGCAGATGCTTAACTGACTGAGCTACCCAGACGCCCCTAATTACTTATTGTTTCATCCCACACTGTACACATCTCAGTTTTAGAAGAATATGAAGACCATCATCAAGTAATAAAAATTGAATTTTTTTGCATTCCCATTAAAGATATAAGGTCAGATTACTGTGTTCTATTTTTTATTTTATTTTTTTTTAAAGATTTTATTTATTTATTTGACAGAGAGAGCTCACAAGTAGACGGAGAGGCAGGCAGAGAGAAAGAGAGAAAGGGAAGCACGCTCCCTGCTGAGCAGAGAGCCCGATATGGGACTCGATCCCAGGACCCTGAGATCATGACCTGAGCCGAAGGCAGCGGCTTAACCCACTGAGCCACCCAGGCGCCCCTATTTATTATTTTTTTAAAAGATTTCTTTTTTATTTATTTATTTGGCAGAGAGAGCGAGAGTAAGAACACAAGCAGGGTCAGTGGGAGAAGCAGGCTCCCCACTGAGCAGGGAGCCCCATGTGGGGCCTGATCCATGACTCTGGGATCACAACCCGAGGTGAAGGCAGACACTCAACGACTGAGCCACTCAGGTGCCCCAAATTACTGTGTTTTTAAAGTCACTTAGAATAGTTACTCTGGTTTTGCTACTGGGTGCATAGGTTTTGTGCCTTTTTTTCTCTTAGTATTTAGGGATTACTTTTTAAAATTTTATAATTATGTAAAATATTAAAAGTCTTTCAAAATATATGAAAGAAGGCATAGTCAAAGAAGTATTACTTCTTTCCATCCCTTCATCTTCACCTATCCCTCTTCCCTATAGATAACCTTTTTACATTTTAGTTTTATGGTTATATTTGTATTTCCTCTTTATCAGATAGATGGTAATGTATTATACACATTTTCTCACCATGCTTTGAGAAGTTTTTATAATAATTGTGTTAAAATAAATAC